GCTGGAGGACAAGCCCAAGTCAGGTCTTCCACCAGAGTGAGGATATAACCCAGGATGGGGCCCCAAGAAGACCCCAGGGAAGCAGAGATCAGGCAACTTTCAAGGGAAAGGGAGACAGATAAACACAACAGCAGAAGGAATCGACCCTCAGGGTGCTGCCCCAGGCATCCCAAAATGGCTCAGCCCTGCTTCTCAGTGAGGCCACCACCCACAGACACCCCACTCGGGCACAGCCCAAGTCTTCCATCAGAATACCCGTGACAGAATACCAAGCCAAGTCACTTGCCTCTGCTGACCAGAGACAACCAGAAACACACCCCAGGGCCCACAGAAGGATAAGAGGGACAAGGTGTGGGACGCATTGTTGGGCTGACAGCCTCAGACAGAACAGATGGAGGGTGACTCGAGACATCTCATACAGCAACTGTCCCCAACCTTTTGGGCACCAGGGACCAGTTTTGTGGAAGACAATTTTTCCACGGCGGAGGCCGGGGGGTGGGGGGAAGGGTGGTCCAGGCAGCAATGTCAGCGATGGGGAGCGGCAGATGAAGCTTCGCTCGCTTGCCCGTCACTCACCTCCTGTGCGGCCTGGTTCCTAACAGGCCTCGGACCCATACCGGTCCACAGCCCGGGGGTTGGGAACCCCTGTCATAAAGTGGGGCCAAGGACTCCAGAGGGAGACCAGACAGGAGGTGGAGACCACAGGTGGGGACAGCAGGTGTCTGGAATGGGCAGGACATTTTCCTTCCCATGTTTCACCTGCCTGTATGGACCCACAGCTGCCTCAGGACTGAAGCAGACACAGATGCAAGTTGTGAGGTGGGGGACAGGACAGTGGAGGTGTAAGCCCAGGTGACATTTGGGGGCAGGACACTTAGGGGCTGCAGCAGAAGAGGTGTTCAGATGGTCCCTAAAGGATAGAAAATCCAACAGCCAGAAGAGAATCAGAATGTTTTATAAAGACACACCACAAATGCATGGAACGCACAGTGAGGGTGTCGTAGAGTGGAGCCTTCAAGGACCCCAGGTTCTCCAAGGCCACATGATGGCCACAGAGCAGGTGTCCAAACAAACCAAGAGGTAGGTGACCCAGTGCTGTGGTCTCGTCCTTCTGCAGCAGACACAGAAACCTTCCTTACCTTCCTGGTAAAAGGGGCAGCTGCTGTCCTGAGTTCTGCTGAGGAGGAAGAAGGTATTGTCGGGGCGGGGGAAGTGACCATGCCACCTTAGGATACCAGACCTAGACCAGCAGACCCCTACATGCTAGAAAGGCAGAGCTCAGCACTCACCAAGGCCAGGACTGGAAACCACCAAAGGGAATATATTTTGGAAATAACAATTCTTAACCTTTCAACTGCAGGTGATCCCAGGAATAAAGACAGGGCTACATGCACAGCTCTTCAATGAGACATCACCAAGAAAAGCACATCAGCTGTATCAACCTGTATGAATATCATTAAAAATCTCAAATGCAGAATAAGTTACTTGTTAAAAAAAAATACTATAGGCAACAGAACGTTAAGACTCTTTATACTAGATTCAGGAGAAAATTTAGCCCAGGACTTGGGAATACGCCATTAAAAAAAGAAAGAAAGAAGAAAAAAAAAAGAGAACAACTCATTTGCTTCCAACAGCTCCATTAAGAAGTATGATCTACAAATCCTAAAACACAAGAGAAGAGAAACACACAGCTCCTGACTGCCTGAACCCCATATCTTCAGGACAAACACCCCAGGGCATCAAAACAATTGCAGAAAGGATCTGAAGCCCAATCAGAATCTTAGAAAGGCTATAAAACCTGAAAGATCAGGAACAAACTTTTGATAAAAGATCTTGGTTGGCGGGTCTTTCATGTTATCTCTGTCAACAAGGAGGAAAACATCACAACAGCTTAGTGTGATAAAGGGAGTGGGCCCCTGTTTGCCCTGCACCCCAGAGGCGAGGGCAGCTCAGTGCCTGGGGAGGAGTCTCTGCCTGGCCTGCCCTGGGTGACTCTCCCCACTGAAGGCACATATGAGATCAAATGACAAACCAGACTTACAGTGACCTTCACAGGACAGATGCCAAGCCAAAGCGAACAAGACCAAGGTAAAGAAGAGTCACTGCAGATGTAAAAGCAACACCACCACACGGAGAGAAATCCCACTTGGCAGCAGCACACTTGAGGGCAGTGCCAGGCTTCGTGACCACAGCTCAGCATGAACTGGCACAGCCACTAGAACAAGTGACAGCACCCTCAGGCTACAGTAAGGAAAGGAAAGTACATGCCCACAAGGGAAATGTCCTTGCCCAAGACCCCCCACAGGGTCAGTGCCGGGGACTCCGGGCACCCACTAGAGTACAGTGTCAGGTTGGCCACAGCCTTAGAGCACCTCAGAGGGTCAGTGCCAGGGCCAAGGGCCAGTGCCTGGGAAAGGGTTAAATTGCACAGCTGGACCCAAGGATGCTGAGCACTGGGCCACAGGAAAACTGACAGCAACCTGTCAAGAACTGGCATACGGTTCAGGCCTCACACTGTCATCTCTTACTGCCCAACCCTGAGCACACACCACGCTATGGCCTCCTTCGGCCTGCACTTAGCTCCTCCATATCCAGGCCCCATTTTCTACAAGTCCTGTGCTCCTGGAAGCCTCCCAACCCACCAGCCTGGAAGGTTGTCTGTCTGTGTCTTATCCCATGTTCCTTCAGTGCAGATGCCAGGCCTCAGGACTGGCTGGCTGAAGGTATGTCGGGTTCTGACACTGGAAAGGAGAGGGGACAGACTCATCACTTTTTAAGGACCTTTCAATTCTGAAAGTAGACGATGCCCCCTCTGAGAAAGAGACCGTCTCCCGATCTGAAGGAAACCTGGTGAGGGTCACCCTGTACTTCAGAATGAACGAGGTGGGTCTGGAGAGTCCACCCATGGGAGCAGAAATACTTGGTGCTCACCCACCTTCTTCTATCCCACTCACACACACACACCCTCTCCTTGGGCACAGTAGGGTCCTGAAAGCTGCCTTCCAGGGCTCTGTCCTCCCTCAAGGCCCAGGCAAAGCACAAAGGTTTCTCCAGACCCAAGGGTCAGAGTTCTCCCTTTACTCAGCGCCTTCACTTGGTGGGAACCTTTTCTTACAAGACTACACGTGATGATAATCTTCAAATTCAAATGTTGAGCTAACAACAACCAAGCAGGAATGAGCATAGTAAAGCAAATTTAGATTTTAAATAAAGAATGAAGAGAACAGGTACAGGATAGCCTGATGACTCCGTTTAAAAGGGGGGGGGGAGGAAAAAGAAACATGACCCTAACACCTGGGGCTGTGCAACAAGGGAAGGGGCCAGTTGCCCTGGAGGGTAGGCACATGCTTGTCAGGGACAATGGAGAAGGTATCTGAGGGCCCAAGGCCTGGTGTTCTTTTACGCTGAGTCTGGAACTTGCTACTTCATCTGAGGCTACTTTTGAAACTCAGTACATTAGCCAAAAGAAGCCTTAATTAGCTTTATATGAAATGATGATATACCATGCAATCTTACTGAGGAATTGTTAGATGAGCTCCCCACAGGAGCTGTTGGGCTGGGTCAGCTCTTTTAACCGCCAAGTCCAAGGTGGATGATAGTTATCACTTGCATAACTTGTCCAGCTCCTCATCTTTCTAGCAATTCCGCAAAGGGGATTCTGTTACTAGTTCCACTTTGAAAATGCAGAAACTGAGCCTGAGCCAGGCAGTGATAGAACTGGGATTCTGCCCAGCTCTGTGTAACTGCAACTCCCATACTCTTAAGCCCTCAATGACATCTATCACTCCTCCCCCAGCCCACCACATTCCTGCCTGGTTGTATTAGACAGCAAGATGTCAGAGAGATCTGGGCCTTCACACAAATCCACAAGCTTCTCTTCCCGGATTCAACTCACTGGGAGTCCTCTCTGCACTCTCTGAAACTCTCTTCCTTACTGAATTAAGAAAGGGAAATTCTTTAAATTCTAAAAGATTCTGGAGAAGGACCTGTAGACAATGCTCCACTAATATTAACAACAGCAGCAGGAGAAGAGCAATTCCCTGCATCTCAGGGAGGTAACAGCACCCCAAGCACTTTGCTTCTTTCTCCTGACCTTGCCCGTACCCTGTATCTTCCCTAAGGTTACTCCGGACGGCCTCACCGCAGCTGGGCAGTCGCAGGCGGCACCGTGTGAGGACGGGATGGGGAGCGTTGGAAGGACGCGGAACAAACCCGGGGGGAAAAGGTGACACTGGAGGAACAGTGAACCGATCTGGAGGGAGGGGAGTGCTGGGGAGACATGGCACCAACCTAGGGAGAAGAGAGCGCTGGGGGGACGCGGAATTGATCTGGGGGAAGGCAGTGACACCAGCGGGACGCGGAACTGACCCGACAGGGTGGGGTGATGCTGGGGGGACGCGAAACTTATCGCGGGGCAGTGACACTGGGGGAACGCGCAACCGACCGGAAGGAGGGCTGCTGGGGAACCGATCCGGGGGTAGTGGGTCCTGAGGGGATGCAGAACCGACCTGGGCGGAGGGGGTGCTTGGGGGACGCGGAACCCACCGGGAGTAGGGTAAGGGCCCTGAAAGGCGCCGACAGTCAACCGCTCACCTGTGCGTGGGCCACCACTAGGCTCTTGTTGCCTTCACCGTGGTACCCCCATTCATTCTCGTCCATCTTCCCCTCGTCCATCCCACGGTGCGGCCCTGGAGCCTCGCGGGGCCACGAGATGAGGGACGCGGGTTCGCCTAGGCACCAGCGCAGCCGACCGGGGAGGAGCTCCTGTCAGCCGCCGCCTCAGCTAGACCCAGCCGCCCGCACTCGCAGGCGCTGGCCGCCGGAAGCCACGCCCCCAACATCTCCCATGGCCGAGCCGGGCAACTTCCGGGTTCGCGCCCGCTTCTCCTCTGTTGACCACGGTGGTTGATGGACTGGCGGCCATCTTAGGTGCTGGCAGAGTGACTCACTTCCGGAGCGCGATCTTGAGAACCGGAAGAGAGGCTTCCGGCCTGGGCGCCGGAAGTGAGGCAAGCGGGAGGAGCCGTCTGCTACCCGGCGACCAGCACTGGCCTGCTGGGGAACATGAGTCCAGGCGGGCTGGGGTTAGAGCGGTACTGGCGCGCTAGGAGCCAGGGGGTCCCAGTGGGGCTGGGGGCGGGGGACGCCCAGGCAAGTCGGGAGCTTGGAAGGGGACGGTCCAGGCGGGCTGGGGGCGGGTGGTCCCTAGAGCTGGAGCCCGCTTAGTCATGGGGCCTCAGCCTTTTTTTCTGTAGAATGGGATACATTTCTCACTCATCGGGTTATTAATATCCTCGTTTGCTCTTTACCTGATGCAGAATCACCCCAGTAGTCCCAGGAAGTGGAAACATTGTGGTCCACATCTTACAAATGAGGATACGTAGCTCAAAGAGGCAAGTGGACTCCTAAATGGCGCTCTTGTCGGAGTGTTACCTGAAAAACTGGCTTTGCCTTTTGGTGGGTGTCAAGCCAGAAGACAAAGAGTGGGAGAAGGAAGGATTTATTACTTGCAACAAGTAAGGAGAATGCTGCGGCTTTTTCCCAAAGCAGTGTCTCCCCAAATAGCAAAATTGAGGAAGTTTTAAGCTAAGGTAACATGTGTATTCATAAAGGGCTTGGGCAGTCAGAGTCCAAGCTTTAGTTGAATGAAGTCATGAGGGTCAGAAAAGGTCTACATCATCCCTTAGGTCCCAACTGATCTGGTAGTTGAGCACTTAAGACTACTCTTTACCATTGAAACAGAATTGAGAGTCTTTACTACTGACATGTTATCTTTGCTACTGTTACTTCTCTTGCCTGATAACAGTTTGTTCTTTTTTTCTCTTAAGATCATTACTGAGACCTGTTGAAGGGCAAGCGTTGTGGCCAGGCTTAAAATGACTTAGGCCAAAAATGGCTTTTCTTATGTCAAGAAAGCCATGCCCAGGGGATTCCCTGGTGGTGCAGTGGTTGAGAATCTGCCTGCCAATGCAGGGGACACGGGTTTGTGCCCTGGTCTGGGAAGATCCCACATGCCGCGGAGCAAATGGGCCCGTGAGCCACAACTACTGAGCCTGTGTGTCTGGAGCCTGTGCTCCGCAACAAGAGAGGCCGCAATGGTGAGAGGCCCACGCACCGCGATGAGGAGTGGCCCCTGCTTGCCGCAACTAGAGAAAGCCCTCGCACAGAAACAAAGACCCAACACAGCCAAAAATAAATAAATAAAAATTTTTTTAAAAATACAGGAGTCCATGTATTAAAAAGAAAAAAGAAAGCCATGCCTGGATTTCTTTCTCCGGGGACCTCCCCTACCCTATCTGCCTACAGGAGGAGTAGGTTTCGTTGAATCTTGAGGGATGTACCTTGAGCAGGAGGTCTGAATTCTGCCCTTGCCACTTAATGGCAGTGAAGCGAAGGGCAGATCTCTTCCCTTCTCTGGGCCTCAATTTATTCACTGTTGACGTGGGACTAATGATACACCTTATAGAACTGCTATGAGGATTAAATTAGATTAGCGATTCTCAGACTCCTACTCTCAAAACCATTTTATACTTTTTAAAAATGATTGACGGGAGTTCCCTGGCAGTGCAGTGGTTAGGACTCCATGCTCTTACTGCCAGGGGCCCAGATTGAATCCCTGGTCAGGTAACTAAAATCCTTCAAGCCGTGTGGTGTGGCCAAGAAAAAAAAAAAGATTGAAGGCCTCAAAAAGTTTTTGCTAATATGGCTTATATCTTTCTATGTTTACCATATTATAAATTAAAACAAATTTTTAAAAATTATTTTCATTTTTAAATAAACATTACCCTTTTTTAAAACGTAGCTATAATTCCCCCAAATATAGAGAAGAGTGGCAAATGTTTCACATTTTTGCAAATCTCTTTAAAGTCTGGCTTCATAGAAGATAGCTGGAGTCTCACATCTGCTTCTGCATTGAATCTGTTGCAATATATTGCTAGGGTTGAAGTATATGAAGAAAACCCAGCCTCAGGTATGTGGTTCAACAAGGAAAGACCTGCAGACCCTACTCTGAGAACAGCTTAGAGCACCTGGCAAGGCCTTGGGAATAGTAGTGAAATGAAGCTAGTGAGTCAGGAAAATGAGCTGATAGCTTTGAACATCTCCCCCACCCTGGGCCCCAAAGGACTGGCACAGGTAGGCTCAGGCCCCACTCCAGGGATGGTCGAGAAATGGGGGCAGAAACAGCCCACTCCTGGAGGTAAGTAATCCCCAAGGGGACTGGAGGATTACTTGGGGGGGTGGGGGGGACACTCACAAAGGGTGAGAAGGCCTTCCTACACCCCCACAAGGCCAGGGGACCCTAAACATGTCTGAGATTTTCTCAGCATCTGTGAATGCAGAATTCAGATCAGATTGTTAAGTATCAAAACACTTCCTTGGGCTTCCCTGGTGGCACAGTGGTTGAGAGTCCGCCTGCCGGTGCATGGGACACAGGTTCGTGCCCCGGTCCGGGAAGATCCCACATGCCGCGGAGCAGCTGGGCCCGTGAGCCATGGCCGCTGAGCCTGCGCGTCCGGAGCCTGTGCTCCACGGCGGGAGATGCCACAGCAGTGAGAGGCCCGCGTGCCGCAAAAACACACAAACAAACCACAACAAAAAAAAACATTTCCTTAAGGAAGCCTCTGTGGTGCTGGAAATGTTCTGTATCTTGGTTTGTTGGGGTTTTTTTTCAAGGAACATTTTATCACTGACACTGTTTAGAATTACTAGTGTATGGTTATTTAAAAGATTAAATCTTGATTTTATGATTGTTCAAAAATTCTCCACAGATGCTCCTAGGGTGGACCACACCCACCTTATCAAAGGGACAAATGCTCTGAAAGAATCATGGTGGGTTAAACAGTGAGGGACACAAAGGAGAGCGGGCTCATCTGCAGGGGTTGGGAGAAGGAAAGGCTGGAAAAGAAAGACATGAGAAAGGGGTCCCAGATAAACAGGGTTTATCAGTTGTTTCTCATACCCTGGATCCACACTCCCTTCTTTTTCATAGCATCAACCCAGTTTTTATTAGGGGAAGTACCTTTTCCTTTATTTAACCCATGTGGTCTGACTTAAATGAACTTGATTCTAGCCTCAAGGCTGTGCAATCAAGAATTGCATTCCCAGTGGTTGGTTCAGGAAGCACAGGGAAGTAATCCAGGTTTGTCCAACCAAGCGCACGCCTTTGGCTTGCACTGAAATGACTGTGGGGAGAATCAACCTCAGCTGAGAAGCTGGGGGGGGTCACCACATGCTGTCAGCAGTGACCGAGGCACCACAGGTGGCAGCAACAGAGGGGAAACAGTTGGAAAGTGGCAAGAAAGGGGACACAAAGTGAGCCAGAGGATTGAGTCCAACTCAGTTGATTTTAATTTTCTGAGCTAGTGAATTCTGTATTTTGCTTAAACAATTTGAGTTGGGTTCCTTTCACTCAGATCCTAGAGTCCAAGCTAATAATAAGGGTACCCTAGGCTGGACCAGTCACCTCTTCAAGAAAAAGCTAGAAGTGAAGCAAAGACCAAAAGGCCATCATTAGCTGGGATTCCTACATGAGGACATTTTGCCTAGATGCTTTATGCTCCTCCATCTAGGTCCCAGCTAGATTCCCACCCCAGTTAATCAGTGTCACCTTTCTGTTTGAAAAAGGAAATGAGAGAGAGAGGAAGGAAGGAAAGAGAAGAGAAAAGGAAGAAAGATGAGATGGGAAACTCATCTTCCAACCACATTGAAAAGCCATCCAGAACCAAAGCGGCAAAACACTAGTGACTGGGAGCCCAGTGATGAGTACTTACTCTATCCTTCCTATTTTTATGTGTGTCTGGAATTTTCCTTACTAAACAGTTCTTATTTTTGAAGGAAGCATGCGATATCATGTGATATGACATGACATGACATGATGAGAAAGGCACTTCACCTCTGTGGTATCCCCCTCACCCCTAAAACTATAATCCCTGTCTAATCATTAGAAAAACATCAGACAGACCCAAATTGAGAGACGTTTGGCAGAATAACTGACCAAGAGTCTTTGTAACTGCCCAGGTCATGGGAGACATGGACAGACCAGAGGAGCCTAAGGAGACAAGACACCTAAATGCAATGTGGGATGCTGGAACAGAAAAGGACATTGGTGGGAACACTGGTAAAATCCAAATAAAATCTGGAGTTTAGTTATTAGTAATGGATCACTGTTAATTTCTTTGTTCTGGGAAATGTACCATAGTTAGGTATGTTAACGTGGAGGGAAATTGGGATAGGGCATTTGGGAACTTGGTACTATCTTGCAACATTTCTATAAATCTAAAATCCAAAATTAAAAGTTCACAAAAAGGAAGGCATTCATTGTTCAGCTTCTTTCATAATTAAATAATTAAAATAAGTATATATCTTAAAATATATATCAAACTGGCAAAATAAAAGCAATTTTGCACAGTGTTTGATATGCGTGGTATACACAGGCAGGACGTGTGCACTGTGGAGGAGAGGATCTGCATTGTTGGAGCCCAGTTTGGCCATGTCATTAAAAGTATTGTAGCTATAGCTAATCCCCTTTGATCCATTTCCATGCCTACAAATTACCCTACAAAACCCTCCCTCCAGTGCTCAGAGATATGTACAGGATGTTTGTACAAACACAAGAGTGATGGACAGGACTTGGTTCCCAATGTGGGCACCTCAGGACAGCCTCAGGCTGCACCAGCCCACCCCAGCAGAAGACTTGCAGGGGGGCTTAGCAACCCGTGTTCTAACAACTTCCCCACATGAATCCCAGAACCATTGAATTATGGTATACTTGAAAATTACACAGGCAGTAAGGAAATGAGTTAGATCTGTACTGACATGAAAGATGTTCAAGGTCTATGGTTAAGTGAAACAAGTGTGTGTGTATGTGTTGTGTCTGTGTGTAAATGCAAAGAAAAGGGAAAGGAAATTTTCCCATCTGGGAAGAGGAGAGCAGGAGAAACAAAAGAAGAATGTCACTTTCCTCTTATATTTGTATGTTGTTGACTCAGAGTATGTATTCATGTAACACTTCTGTAATAAAAATTTAAATGAATACATTCTCAATACTTTTTAAATTAGATAGATCTATCACTATGTATGAATATGGAAAGATGGCCATGGTATGTTTAATACAGAAATAGGTGTTTGTTTTTGAATGGAAAAGAAAAACGATCAAGAAATAGGTGCCTGGGACTTCCCTAGTGGTCCAGTGAGTAAGACTCTGCAGTCCCAATGCAGGGGGCCCGTGTTGGATCCCTCAACGGGGAACTAGATCCCACATGCACGCTGTAACTAAGAAGCCCACATGCCGCAACTAAAGATCCCGCATGCAGCAACTAAAAGATACCGCAACGAAGATCCCACGTGCTGCAACTAAGACCCGGCGCAGCCTACATGAATAAATAAATAAACAAACAAACAAACCACAACTAATACCTGGCACAGCCAAAATAAATAAATAAACAAACAAACCTAAAAAAAAAAAATAGGTGCCTTGCTGTGTACTGAGATTTTCTTTGGGGATGGGACCACAGGTGATGTGCACTGACTACACTACATGTGTCTGTAACATTAGAATTTTGCATACAAAGTATGTTATCTTTGTAATTAGAAAAAAATAATAAAGCTCAGCATGCAGTGGCCTCAGGATGCTCAGCTACATAGAATTAGGCAGGTGTTCTTGAGGGTGGACTCCAGGATATTCAGGCCACCTGAACTGCTGACCTCAGGTAATCCCACCAACTCCAAGGTATCCTGACTGGAAGGTGAGTCAAGAGTCCTTGGAGGGAGCTTGGCCTCTTTCCACACAGGGATATGATGATGTTGGGCATGCTATTACCTGAATTAGTCACTCTCCTGGTGTCTGATGCCCAGAATTTCTGCTCCTCATCCACCTTCTCCTTTCTCCAGCTTTTACACTCCAGGAAAGTCCAGGGGAAAGGGTGATGGTGCCACAGCATGACTAAGGAGGCCCAACCCTTCCAATAAGGGCATCCC